GGCAGCGCGTGTCACGCAGGGACAGCAGCAGCAGCAGCAGCAGCAGCAGGCCAGAGCTGCAGCCGCAGCTGCTGATGTTCTTTGGAAACCTCTTGATGCGGTCTCTACAAGCAGCAGTTGACAGACAGCAGCAGCGCCAGCGCCGCCGCCGCAACAGCAGCAGCAGCAGCAGCAGCAGCAGCAGTGCGGCGGACACTGAGGGCAGTTTGGCGGCCCCTTTGCTGCTGCCGCTTACTGCAGCGGAGGCCAATCAGCTGATCAGCCTTGCAGTGAGCCTGCTAGCTAGCTAGCTAGGCAATGAGCTGGCCAGCTAGCCAGCTAGCTAGCTAGCCAGTTAGTCAAGAGATGGGCCAGCTAGCTAGTTTATTGGGCTGTTGGCTAGCTAGCTAGCTCTACGAATGAGTAGCAGCTACCTAGCTAGCTAGCGGACCACCCAGCTGTCTATGCAGACAAAGCTAGCTAGCCACCCAGCTAGCTAGCTGGGTGGCTAGCTAGCTGGGTGGCTAGCTAGCAGGGTGGCTAGCTAGCTGGCTAGCCATCTATCTAGGTAGCTACTTAGACAGATAGCTAGCAAGCTGGATAGCTGGCTAGACAGTTGGCCAGCTAGCTAGCTAGCCGGTGCTTGCCTTTCTGCTGTTGCTAGCCGCCCTGCTTTTGCTGCTGCTGCTGCTGTCGCTGCTGCCGTTATTTTTGTTGCGGCTGCTAGTGTTGCTGCCTCTCAGTCCAAGACACATTTCCGCTGCTGCTGCTGCTGCTGCTGCTGCTCTCAGAGGCGCCTGCAACTGGAGGAGCAGCTTCCTGCAGCAGTGCGGCACACGGCAGAAGCCGCCGCAGCAGCAGAGGCAGCAGCAGCAGCATCAGCAGCAGCAGCAGCAGCAGCAGAGGCAGCGGCACCAGTAGAGGCAGCTGCAGCAGCAGATCCGGATGCAGCATCGGTAAGCGCGCATAGTCCGACTCCGACAGCAGCAGCAACCCTGCTTGGACGCCAGCAGCAGCAGCAGCAGCAGCAGCAACAGCCAGCAGGTTCTTTTTCTTCGGAGGAGCCGCAACAAGGTGAAGAGGCACCGCAAGATGATATTGCAGCAGCATCTGCAGCAGCAGCAGCAGCAGCAGCAGAAAGACGACTCGCTGCTTTGGGAGATCGGCTTTCTGGCCTCGACGCAGCAGCAGAAAAGAACAGCAGCAACCCCAGCAGCAGCAGCAGCAAGAGGCGAATACGGAGTCCCTCCCAAGGTGACACACGAGAGGAAAGTAAAGGACAGCAGCAGCAGCAGCAGCCTACAGCAGCAGCAGCAGCAGCAACGCCGCCA